CTTTCTTCTTCTTTTTCTTCTTCTTTCTTTCTTTCTTTTCCTAATCTTATTATCTGTCCTTATCTTATTTCTTTTCTTTATTTTAAAAGGGGTTGTTAGCCCCTTCTGTTATTCTCTCCGACAGGATTTGAACACATGATCTGCTGGTTCGTCTGGGATCCCAATGCTAGTCTACGACTCTACGTGTGCGGCATGTGTTCCACTCAGTCACAATGCTGGGTCATCTGGGCTGTACTTTCATCAGCCTCGGACCTCCTCCATGCATGCACGGATTCGAACCGGCGGCCTCAGCCTCAAGAGCTGAGTTTCTTAGCCACAACAGCCATGGCACGATATAAAACAGCCTTCTGATTCAATGTTTGATAATTAACTTCTAACTTCTAAATGAGATGGGTTTTTTTTTTTTTAATTCGGTTATATCTTATATTTTGTTTTATGGTTGACTTGCAATTTTGTTGAATAGAAATAAGATCACCACTGGAAACTTGAAAGCTAGGCCGAAGGATAATTTGATTATTAACACAAATATTTTTATGACTGCGGGCTTGATTGATATCCTCCCCACCCCTGCATGGCTGTAGTGTCCTTCAACTCACATCCTTCAACTCACACCCACAAGCAAACAAGACCACACTCAGGCATTCGCCACAGGCAGTTCTTGCCACTCTGCTCCCATCCAGCACGCGCGGGCTCCCAGGTCTTCCCCCCCCATCCCCCTCCCCCTTCTCTAAAAACAAAACAAAACAATGAATCATTATATTGCAAATCCCATAACTATGCCGGGAGCTCCCAAGTCTTTAAAACTGTGTTCTTTTTTGGTTATTAATTGATTTTGTTGTACGATGCGGCATTTCATCTGCAGTCATCTTCCGATCATGGCAGCGATCGATGGTCTCCTCACACCTATCATCCTCTGATTTGTGCTTCGTCCTTCACGAAAAGTGGAACGAAGTGCTAGGAATAGCTAGGCTTTGAGTTTCAGGTGGGAAACTTGAAGTGTCATAGATACACGTACCAGATAGAAAATAGGCAGAATGGCCAGCAAGTTGTACGGAAGGGACATAAAATTAGACACAGCAAGAAGGGTTAGTCATCTGATGAAGTGCAGATCAGCGGTCATATTCCGATGATGCATCCATCAGGAGGCGGGCGTCGCAGTACAGGGGAAAAGGGAAAGGGGTCGTGATAGAGACTGTGACCCTCGCAGTACCACTCACCAAATGCACAGAATGAGAACGTATTTCCCTTGCTAAATGTGCAAAATAAGAATGTATTTCTCGCTAGAAAGTGGAAAGATACACACGACATATTCTTTACCTTTTTCACATTTGGTGAGTGGGGCGGCGAGGCCCCATAGCTGTTGTGGGATTCGTGAAGACCACTGAATTGACTACTCGGTCTGTTTGTAGCATCCGAAACGCCTACTGTCTTCCCCCGAACACAACGCACCCTCATTTTGAGTGTATTGGGCCGGAAACATACCTTGTATGCCTTCATTTTCAGGGTGCGTTATGTTCGGGGGAAGACAGTAGGGAACGACCAGCTGGAGAAGCGGAGCCGATTGTTGTTGATGTCATCATGTGCGTGTCCATGTCAACATGTCTTTGTGGTGGGAATTGGCCCTCGGTTCCGGCAAGTTCAATGGCCGCACCATCCATAGCCAATCGTATTGGAAAACATTTCCTCAACGCCTGCATCTGGACGTGTTTGAGGAGATAGGCAGAAATCGCTTCCAGTTTCGTCCAGCTTCCTGAACTGCATATCTCCACTCCAGTTTCCTCAACTGCATATCTCCACAAACACGTCCAGATTCAGGCGGTTGATGAAACTCAACGCTGCTAGTGGGACTTGACCCCAGCTCACATTGCCCGTGCGTTCCGATGCTCAGCGGTGTCACAGTGGCAGAAGTTCGAAGTGCTCTCCCAGTTTACCTTTACTTCTTTTTATCGGGGGGGCGGGGGAGAGAGGGGTAGAAGGGTAGGGCGGGGAAGATGGGGAGGGAGATTGCAACTCAAATTTGTAGCTAGTCTACCTCCCAACGCACTATCAACTCGACTGTTCATTGCCATTCCCATTTTCCCTTCCCTTCGTTCTTCCACCGTGACATCTGTCTAAATTGTTATCCGTGCTGTAACACTAGGAAAAGTCCAAAAAATGCCTCGCGTAAATTGAGTTGATGGGTCATTTACTTGTAACTAAGTGCCACTTCCCTCGGATGCTACCCCCGCATTCCCTCCTTTTTTGCGATTGGATTGCCTGTGGAATCTCTGTGTTTCTGTGTTTCTCTGTTTGTGTTTTTCTGTGTGAAGGTTCATTGTTATGCAGAATCAACAAGCAGTGAAGGTGCAAGAGCCTATCGAACTGGCACAGGTACGACTTCCCCTGCAATGAGCTGTTGACACACAGACGTAAAAGGAAAAAAAAAACTAGACCTGAGTTCAAACTCCACGAATGAAAAAAATTCCCATCGATGTGCCCACTTTGACAGGTCTCGCGACCCGTGTTCCACAATTTGGACACACTGATTTTTTTCTTTCCCACTTTGGCCAGTGCCCCTGCCCACTTTTTAGCTTGCTGAACAGCCAATCGGGCACAACATGTGTAGACAGAGTTTCGTGGTCCACTTCGAGGAAATGGCAGTCCGTTTGACGTTCGTGAAGCATGCTGTTTTACAAGTTAAGTTACAACGGGTCGAGAAAATAGCATTAAAAAAAATAAAATAGAAAAAAATAAAATAAAGACGAATAAGAAGTTTTTGAAAAAATAGCTCAACAAGCCATACACGGACTGTTTTTGACTCCTTGGGCAGTGCACTATCATAGCCCTATCCGATAAAATTGACTGTTTTTTCACTCCTTGGGCTGCGATGCTTTCAAGGCTGCAATCATCCTTTTCTGTCTTCGTTTTTGGTTCCCTCCCTCTCAGATATCACTGTTTTTCACTTTATCACTATATTTGATGCTTATCTGATTCAGATATGATCTGAATATCCATTTCAAATGCTGCAGCATGTAGAGCTTCTCGTTGGGACAGCCAATTTCGGAGAGGAGATCCGTGCATTGGACTCCCAGATTACGGAGAAAGATGGTCAACAAGAACGACTCCAGTCGGAGTTGTCTACCCTCAGAGCAAAAGTGGCACAATTGTTGCCAGAGGTCCAGAAGTGGGAAGCGTGAGTATAATGCGAAGTACCCCTGACTCCCTGAGTCATGATCTTTTTCTTTTTTTTCTTTTTTTTTTTTCTCTTCTCTTTTTCATTTTTTCTTTTTTTCCCAACAGTGCCCCATCTCTTCTGGGGGGCAGAAATCGGGTTGCTCAAGTTATCACCCATAATCACCAGCAAGCACTAGTTCAAGACATCAAGGAACAAGTAACTCGGACGAATTTCATCAACTTCGAAAAGGGGAAACTACGCGGGAGTCAGACGAATGAGTTACAAACTGACAGTACAGTTGCACTATGGGCCAAGATACAGTTTCGAATTGCAGTTGGGGCAATGTATACAACCCACCTTTCTGGCCAGGTAGGGTGCCCGAAGTGCAATTGCAAACCGTATCTTTCCCACAGGGCAGGTATAACGCATTTTTGTCACTCTACTGAAGTTACCCCATTTTAAAATTTCCATTTCCTTCTTTTTTTTTTGGTTCTCTACCTTTTGAGTCATTGTTGTACCCTGGCTGCCAGAGGCTGGCAGCGGCTGCAAATGTATGCAACACCCATGGTGCACATTTGGACATCTGACGTATGCCCCACTGCAGGTTTACAGGTTTTCTTTTTTGTCAGCTTCTTGACTGTGTGCAATTCAGTGATTCATTGTTTTGCACACATGAAGTTTGTCTACTCCTATCAACGGGCCTAGCTCAGTTGGTACACCCCCCCTGAACTGTTGAAATACAGACCCAAGTTCGAATCCAGATACTATCAGATGAACATAATAAAATCATTCTGAATTGCCTAGGGCCGGCCAGTTCAATGATGATATGCATGTGGCACCCTGGCTTTTCAACAAAAAAAAAAAAAAAAGTTTTTTTCTGCTCCCACTGCGAGTACCATAACGCTTAGATTGCTAATGCACTCCGTCATGCTGTGTCACAGTGTCTGTCATCTCGCAGTCGACACCCTTCTGACACAGAGCATCAGGGGTATCAAACGTGGAATGTTTGGCATCCCTTGAAGGGGTAGGTTTGAACTTTGAATATTCCCAGTCTGGCATGGCTTTGAAATGAGCATGTGGAGAGGGGAATTATAGAGAGCAGGAGAATCAGAGAGATGAGGCATAGGACGGAGTCTCGTGTGGGCGCAGACACAGTAATACTTATCCTTAACTGTGTCAGGTGGGGGTGGGTGGGCTATCAGCAGGGAATCACGATTGCAATATCTGATTCAGTGAGTCAGTGCTACCATCTTCGCCTGAATAAAATGCCTGATCATTATAGCTGTATTTGGCACAACTTTCGGTCCAGCAGTGATAATGATCGGGCGTTCTATTTGGGTGAAGACGGTAGTGCCTCTGTGCTCTCGGAGTCGCATGCGTGAAAGATTGCTGGGATTTTGGCTATAAGCCATTCTTGGATCATGTTGCTATCTTTGCTACATGTCTATTGCAGCCTCAAACACTGCAGAGGTTCTTCACGTTTGCCTTTTTTTTTTTTCTTTTTTTTTTTTGAAAAAAGTAGCTCAGCTGTCTCCTCCGCATCGGAGGACAAGCTGTACTTTACTACCCTATTTTCTTCTCTCAAAACTGTGGCTTTCTCACAATTGCTAACTAGGACCTACCCCTATCTACTCCTAGTCCAGTCACATTTTTACCTTGAAGCCTATCTATGCACACAAGTCGGGTGGCCCTGAAATTTATGGGTTGACACTGGCCTCTGCTCTGTATAATCTGCTCTATGCGGGGAGCGGTACCCTCGTTCCGAACACCTGGCACGAGCTGGGAAGCCAAAACTACTTCCACAATCAGCCAGGAGGCCCAAGCCAATTATCTCCAGTTGTGAACCTGATGCGTGCAGCTGGCCGCGGGGGATTGAATGAATGACACGTGGGGAATCGAACCCACGACCTCCTGAGTTCCACTTACGTGCTCAACCAACTGAGCTAGCCCGCTTGGGCTCATTCGCTTTTTTCTTTTTTTCTCTCCTTTCCCTTTTTCTGTTTCCCCTGAAGATGCAGGATCACTTTTGTTATTTCCTCAACTGAAACTCTGTGGTCCATTGGTGAACAAACAGGTATGAAACTCAGCGAAAGGCATTTGTAAGGAAAAAGGTACGTCTCTCTCTCTCTCTCTCTCTCTCTCTCTCTCTCTCTCTCTCTCTCTCTCTCTCTCTCTCTCTCTCT